ACAACAGTCCTGGGAGAGCTGGGCCCCAAAATTTTCTCTAAGTTCCTTGGACACTTCAGGAGAGAGATCTTGATTGGGTTCATGTTCCTGTCATATTGACAAGCCCACTTACTCTCATTCTGATCCTGAAGTCAAATGAGTTCAAACCACTCCACAATTGATCATGCTTCCATTTTGGGGTGATGGATTCCTGTACCCCTCAGGATTTCCCAGTGGCTCTGAGGGTCCTCACCCTACAATGTGTGATGGGCTCTCTCCCTCTTGTCTTTTTCCCACATAGAACATCCTGTTTCTGTGTACTGTTGACAGAACACTGCCTTTGTTTTATGTTAGGACCAGGGTCTCTATTCTAATGCTGAAGTCCTTTCCAGTAGTCATGATATTTCCTTTTTCACCACAATTTTTAGTAATTTGAGTTTTTTTCTCTCTTTTTAAACTTGGCTAAAGGTTTATCAATTTAGTTTATTTTTTCACAAACTTTTTTTTTAATTTGTTGAATTTTTCTTTTGTTTCAATTTTATTGATTTCAACTCTGATTTTAATTATTTTGCCTCCTACTGTTGTTGGTGTATATTTGTTCTTCTTTTTCTAGGACTTTGAGATGCAACCTTATTTTTTTATTTGGCTATTTTCTATTCTTTTAATGAATGAGCTCAGTGCCATAAATTTTTCTCTTAGAACTGCCTTCATAGTGTCCCAGAAATTTTTATATGTTGTATCATTATTCTCATTTCTAAGTATCATTTTTATTTTATCTCTGATTTCTTTTGCCATCCATTCATCATTCAATAGTGAATTACTTAGTCTTCAGGTGTTAAAGTATGTACTATTTTTATTTTACATTTGATTTCTATTTTTTTCCATTATGATCTGATAAAATGCAGGGTAGTATCTCTGGGTTTATTTTTTTTTTGTTGTTGTTGTATTTGCTACTATTTGCTTTGTGGCATAACATATGGTCTATTTGGGGGATGGATCCAGGTGCTGCTGAGAAGAAAGAGTGTTTGCTTGTTATGAATGGAATATTCTATATATGTCTGTTAAGTCAACATATTAATTGAATTATTGACTCCTATATTTTCTTTGTTTAGTTTTTGTTGCGAAGATCTATCCAGTGGCGAGAGAGATGTATAAAAGTCACCCAGTGTTATTGTGTTGTGATGCTTTTGTCCTTGTATTTGAGAAGGATTTGTTTGACCATTTTTTGAAGCATAGATATTTATGATTGTTATGTCTGGTTGAAGTATGAATTCTTTAAGCAGTATGAAATGTCCTTCTTTATCTCTTTTCACTAGCTTTGATTTGAAGTCCACTCTATTTGATATGAGGATGGAAAAACCCTGCTTGTTTACATGGTGCATGTGAGTGGTGTACCTTTACCAACACTTTAAGCTTAAATCTGTGGATGTCTTTTCCAGTGAGATGAGTCTCTTGAAGGCAACATATTGTTGTTTTTTAAAAATCTAATCTGTCAGTCTATGTCCTTTTTTAATTGTTTATAGACCTTTATTTTATTTACTTATATGTGGTGCTTAGAATCCAACTCAGTGCTTCACACATGCTATGCACCAAGCCAGAACTCCAGGCCAAGTCTATGTATTTTAATTGATGAGTTTAGACCATTTACACTTAGGGTTATTATTATAATATGAGTTGTATTTCTGAACATTTTGGTTTATTTTTTTTAACTTGACTTGGTTTCTCTTTGATTTCCCTTTCCTTTAGTGTGGGTCTGCCTTTGCTGATTTTCATTGTCATTTTTCATTTCTGCCATCTGGAATATTATACTGAGTGTGCTCTCTAGTGTGGGCTTTCTCACTGTGAATTCTTTAAACTTTTATTTATCATGAAAGGTTTTTTTTAATTTTATCATCAAATCTGAGGCTTAATTTTGCTGAATATAAGAGTCTTTGTTGGCATCCATTTTTTTTCCAGAGCTTTGTATATGTTGTTCCACAATCTCCTGGCTTTGAGGGTCTGGGTTGAAAAACCTGTTGAGATCCATATTGGTCTCCCCCTATATGTGATCTGATTTCTCTCTCATGGTCTTTAAGAATTTTTTAATATCAATTTTTTAGTTTTCTGTGGACACAATATCTTTATTTTATTTTTATGTAGTGCTGAAGATCAAACTCAGCACCCTGTGCATGCCAGGTGAGCATGCTATTGCTTGAGGCACATCCACAGCCCCAAAATTTTATTCTTGTTCTTTATGCTAGGAATTTTCATTATAATGTACCTTGGTATATATCTGTCTTGACTTTTTACATTTGGTGTCCTGTAAATATCTTGTATTTGGTTTTCTAATTCATCCTTCATGTTTTAGAAATTTTCTGATATTATCTCATTGAAGAGATTGTACATTCTTCTGGTTTGAAATTCTGTTCCTTCCTGTAACCTAATAATTCTTAGATTTGTTCTTTTGTTGCTATCCAATATTCTTGGATGTTCTGGTTTATTACCATCTTCACTGTGTGGTTAACTTTGTTTTCCAGATTATATACTTTGTCTTTATTAACTGATGTTCTGTCTTATAAACGGTCTAGTCTGTTGGTGATGCTTTCTATGGAGTTTTTTATTTGGTTTACTGTTTCCTTCATTTCAAGGATTTCTGAGTCTTTTTCTTTTCAGAATCTCTTTCTTGAAGTAACCTTTTGCTACCTGTATTTGTTCCCTTATCTCTTTGTTGGAGTGATCAATTTTTTCCTGTATTTGCTCATTTAGGTCATTCTGCAATTCATCCATCATTTTAATTATATATATTATGAACTTTTCCTCTGACATTTGATCTTCTGTGTTGTCTTTGGGTTTTGTTATCATAGTATCCTTGTTTGTTTGGTGCACTTTGTTTCCTTATTTTTTTTTTCATGTTGTCTATGTGTCTTTCTTTCTTGCAGTGAGGATCTGAGGTATTATAGTTTCTACCGCATGATCTTGTAGTGTCCGTGCAGATTATCTATACCTCAACTTGGTGCTGGGCTTCGAGACCCTGGTGGTGTCTCATGATAGATGCTACTGCAATTAAGGTTTGGTGGGGGCAATAGTGGAGGTAACTCAAGAGAGCAATCGGGTATCCCAAAATGGATACAACCTCTTACAGAGATGGGGCTGAAAGGCGGGCTTTACACTGGCTTTGGATGCCTGTTCCAATGCAGCTGCTTCTAGGTTCTGTCTGTTGTCACAAGGTGGTGGCTACTGTATGTTGAGGGCCATGTCTCCATATGGAGGTAGGTTAGGCCTGGGATCCCTGTTGGGCCAAGGGGTGGACCTGCATCTAACCTTGCCCTGGATTTTCTCACAAGTTGGAGGAGGCAGTCTTTAGCTGGGACCTGGGCTCTGGCATGGTTCTGCCTGTCGGCTAGGTGAATCCAGGCCACCTGGGCCTGGGCTCCCACATAGGCCAGCAAAGAACCAGGTTGTGGCTCCTTGGTTTTCTCTATTAGTATCCTGATTTCAATTTCATTCAATTTTGTTTTAATTTGTATCATTATTTTTCTGTTGCTTACTTTGAATTTAATTTCCTTCCCATCTTCTGATTTCCTAATATGGGGGTTTAGATGATTGAGTTTAGATTTCCTTTTCCAATATGTACATTGAGTTCCAAAAATTTACTCATAGATACTGATTTTGCTACATGTCACAAATTTTGATAAATTACTTTTCCATTTTCTTTCAGTTAACATTCTTTTCTTGATTTGTATTGCTTTGTGTCTTATTCAGAAGTGTAAACTCCCCAAGTGTTTGGGGGAGTTGCCCATTATCTCTCTGCTTTCTAGATTAATTGCATTAGGGTCCTAGAGTGAACATCATATTATGATTTGTTTAAAGTTGTGTGTGAGTCATATTTCATGACCTAGTCTTTTAGGATTAGGTTCGTCTTGCTGGATGATCATTGTAAACTTGAGTGTGTGTCCTGACCTTGTTGGATAGTAGTGTGTAAATGTCAATTAGATCCAGTTGATTGGTGCCACTGTGTCTTTACTTTTTTTCTGCATGCTGAATCTGTTTATCCTGAATGAATGGGTGTTGAAATTTCCTGTTACAATATGCATCATACTGTTTCATATTGCAGTTTTATCCATTTTACACTCTTGTATATTTATGTGTGTACTTAGGTACATGAACAGAAAGGCTTGTTATCTCTTTTGAGGAATGACCCCTTTGTCATTATGTGATGAGCCCTTGGTCCCTGAGTAATTCCCTTGCTCAAAAATATATTTTTTTTGAAATTAATATAGGTACTTCCACTCTTTTGATTAATGTGAGCATTTTTATGTGACTATTCACCCATTTACTTGTGATCAAGGTGTTATTATATTTAAAGTAATTTTATCATAAACAACAGATAGTCAGTTTGGTCTCTTTTTTCAGCATCTTATGGAAGCCTCTAAATTTTAATATTTTTAGGGAAACATTGGTCAGGCCTTAATTTCCCAGCCTTATGTGAAATAGTTGAGCCATTTACACTATTGCATGTGTCATTTTTTATAAAATATTTTTACATTATTTTTTGTACCAGAGATTGAACCCTGGGTCACTTCATCACTAAGCCACATCTCCAGCCCTTTCACGATTTTTTTTTTTTTTCATTTTTGACACAGGATCTCAAGTTGTTTAGCGCCTCTCTAAGTTGCTGAGACTGGCTTCCAAGTTGTTATCCTTTTGCCTTAGCATCCGGAGTCATTGGGATTACAGGCATGTGCCATTGCACCTGGTGCAAATACAATTTTGTCAATTTATTTTACTGGTTGCTCAGGAATTTGCAATGTACATTTATAATGAAGCCGGGCCCACTTCCTGATAACCACCTATTTCACAAGTACTGCCAGTATCTGCAGTGTTGCTATCATTCATCTTACTTACCCAGTTAGCATCAATCAATACCATGTGGCTCTTTTATTTTTATTCTGCATAAAGTGATTCCTTAGTGTTTTCCCTCAATTTCACTGTAATGTACTGACACATTGCTTTCTTTGTTCCAAATAGACTTCTTTAGATTCATGTCATCAGGTTTGGTAAGTTTGTCGATGATTTTCTCCTATTATTCCTGATTTTATTCCTTCCTGTGGTTTTAATGACAGATATGTTAAAATAATTAACATTAGGTCACTTCTGTACATTTCACTTGTAACCTTTTATTATCACCCTCTCTGACTGAGTTTTGATAGTTTTTGACTTGTTTTGAGGTATCTTGGAGACTTATTCTGAAGTGTCTAGTCTTACTCCAGGTCCATAATGAATTTTACATTGCAAAAGTTACATATTTTTGTTATTATATTTTCAATAGATTCTATTGAAAGTTCCATTTCCCTCCAGAAAAAAGATAATTGTTATATATTATATCATTATGAACTTTAATTTTTAAAATTTGTTATTTTTAATTATACATGTCAGTAGAGTCCATTTTGATATGTTTATACAAACATGGAGAATATCTTATTCTAATTAGGGTCTCACTCTTGTGGCTGTACATGATGTGGAGTTTCACTGGTCATGTATTCATATATGAACAGAGAAAACATATGTCTTATTTATTCCACTGCCTTCTTATTTCCATTTTACCTTTCTCCCCTCCATCCCCCTTTGACTAACTCACTGAACTCCTATAACCCCTGGCCCCAATTGTGTGTTAGCACCAACATATGAGAGAGAATATTCATTCTTTGGTGTTTTGGATGTTGATGCATATTGATAATAGCTGAGTTAAAGGATCATCTTCTAATTCCAGTATCAGGGACATCAGTAGGTCTTCTTATAATGATGGTACTTAATTTTGATTAGAGATCAAAGGATCCCTCTTGGTCACATATCTAACCATTTTCATATAAATTTTATAAGGTACATTGGAAACAGAATTTTATATTGGTTTTGCAAAAGGACAGTGCATGCTGCCTCTGATAAACTGATTCCTTAGTGTTTTCCCCCAATTTCACTGAGACATGGTTTTCTTTGTTCTACATAGACTTCTTCAGATTTCCTTCATCAGATTTGGTAAGTTTGCACAGTTCTCCCCTGAGTACTATCATTCAGGAAAGAATGTGCCTCGGCTTACCTCAACAAGCAAGCACTAGCTCTGCCTCAAATTTTCTATAGTTTGATTCATTTTAGTATGGAGCTTTTATTAACTTTTAAAAATTAGAGCATAATTTCTATACATATTAGTTGAGTTTATCCCAAGAAACTCATACATGCTGTTTTATTTCTTATTAAATCCTCCTTTCTTTTCTTTCTTTCTTTCCTTTTGGTTTCAAGGATTGAACCAAGGGACACTTAACCAGTGAGCCACATTCACACTCCATTTTTAGTTTTGTTTTTGTTTTTATTTTGAGACTGGGTCTCACTAAGTTGTTCACAGACTCCCTAGTTTGCTGAGGTTAGCTTTGAACTCACAATTTTTCTGCCTCAGCCTTTCAACCTGCTGGGATTACAGGTGTGTACCACCATGCCCAACTCATCATTTAAATTTGACTGGCATCTTGAAAACTAAAGTTGAGAACTTGGAAACCATGGAATACAGGACCCTGTAGTACTCAGAAACCAGATGCTCTATGGACAGTTCTTAAAGAAGAAAATACCTGTCATACATTGCAGGGAGAGGACCCTCAGAACCACTGGGAGGACTCAGGTGCCAGGAATCTCACCAGAGTATAGGAATTACAAAATATGAAATAAGTTCACACTAATTTAAAGTTGGTATCAAAGTAATAAAATTGCTGTTGACTACATGATCTGACCCTTCAGGTGTTACATGCTTTTGTGTCAGGGTAACTTAGGGGAAGTTTTGAGCACAACTCTCCCCTGAGTACCAGCATCCAGGAAAGAATAAAGAAAAATTAAGAAACATGTAAATGTTCCACATGGGACACCATAGTTCTCTCTTCCCAGGGGAGATATTATCACACTTATAGAGGCACTAAAATTACCTTCCTGTAGAGACATCATCTATGCTGGTTTGTCTGAGGTCATTGCATCCCCTGCAAACCATCTGGTAAGTGCCTCTCTGTTCCTGATGCATATCAGGGGGCAGGCAGGGCCTGAACCAGGGGCCTCCCAGTCAGATTTCAGGTTTGGATCAGCAGCCACCTCCAATCACCATTTGCAACTCAAGGGCTTTTTCCTTTCACTCCATGGGAGAATTTCTTGCTCGAATTCTTACTGCTTTGATTTAGTGACTCATAAATTAGTAGTTTTTAATATAAAATGCTATTAATAAATTTAGATATGAAATCCTGTAATTGATTTCCATTATACATTCCTTTGCTGGAATACAATGACTTTTGTTCACTTAGTATCATTTTTCAAGGAACATGTTATTCTCCTTTCATTTTACATAATTTTGCTATGAGTTTTCACTAAATATACTCAATTTTCTTTTAGCTTCTTTGTAATTTATTAAAGCTTTTAAATATAAGTGTTCTGTAATTTGAGTTATTAAAAAGAATTTTTAAAATGCATGTTGTAGCTCAGTGGTAGAGCACATTTAAGGAACTGGGTTTGATCATCAGTACCACATAAAAATAAATAAATAAAATAAAGTTAATTTAAAAAAATAGTTTGAAGAGAGGTTCTTCAATCAAAGTATCACCTTTGAAAGAGTTTGAATATGCTCATTCATACAAAATATGAACCAGACTTTTTGCACAAAAACCTTTCTTGCACTCTTACTAATTTAACAAACATTACATTAGTGAAGACACTACTTCACATGAGCTCTCTCCACTGGGCCATGTCTTATCAAGTGGTAATGAAAGTTGGACTGTAATTACATTATAAATAAAAGAACCAACGATGGTAGAAATTTTTTTTTGCCTTGGTAGAAAAGGGATTAGAATGTAATTCATCAGAATTTGGTGAGGATGAAGGCTGTCCATATATTTTTGAACACATATTTAAAAATACCTCTTATAATTTCATTAATAGTGGATATGTCAAACCCATTCATGAGGGTAAAATTTTAAAACAAAATTTCTATTTATTTTATTCATTGATTATTAATGTATTTAATGGAACTGGGCATAGATATAGCACTTCTTGAGCACATTCAAGGCACTGGGTTTGATCCTCACTGCCACATAAAAATAAATAAAATAAGAATAATTTTATTCACCTGTGCTACATTCTCACACCTTTTTATTTTTAAGCATGATCTCACTAAATTGCCCAGGCTGCCATAAACCTTGTGATTACACTGTTTCAGCCTTCAGAGTTGCTGGAATTACACATGTGCCCAGTTACAACAAAATGTTCTCTTCTTCCCTGAACTCATGTTTTTGTGTTAGATTTTTGTTGCTGCCCACCTCCTGATAAGTACTTATAAGTACTTAATATAAATGTGAGTAAATCTAGTTTTCTTGGTAATAAAACACAAAGGATATGATGTAAAGGAGGAGGAAAGTCATTTATTGAGAACAGGATGCTGTCTTTGTTGCATTATTGGGTTGATCAAAGAGAGCTTCTCACAGAGGACACTTAGTATTTCTGAGTGTTGACAGTTCATGTTGTTGAGGAAGCAGCTTTAGGTCTTTTCTGCTTCTTTCCTTTGCAGTAGTAATAACCCATTCTTGATAGATTTCTTAAATTAGGTGTAAAATATTGACACTGTAGATACCCATGTGTAAGCAAGCACTCTAAACTATACTTTAAAAATATTTTAATTTACAACACAGAGTATATAATTCTTACTTTTGTGTGTGCATGTATGGAGAGTGAGTTTTGGGGCAAATGCATGCCATTCTTGCCTTCACATTCTTGCCTCAGATTTTTTAGTTCATCTTCCCTGACCTCATGAATTTCACAAATGCTGTGCCCTTGATGTAGGACAGATGATTCTGGACATGTGAGGAATTTCAGGAAACAATTTTATTTAAGCTACGGTGGTTTAGAGGAGCTAATGCTAAAAATCTCTGGACATATGATGTGAAAAATCTTTAGAATTTTCTTTAGTCAGTGGGGTGGATACATGACAGTGGGTGGATACCTAACTGTTACTCTCATGGGATGGACTTGTAGCTCAGTGGTAGAGCAGTTGCCTAGCACATGTGAGGTTTTGGTTTTGATCCTGAGCACCACATAAAAATACATAAATGAAATAAAGTTAACTTCAATAAAAAAGTAACTCTTTGTCTCATATTTTAGGTCAGACAGATGTTTCACAAGTTTTTTCCAAGAAAAACAAAAATAGTAACCTTTGCACAACAAGAAGATTGATTACAGACCTAGTTATTACAAGGAGAAACCTAGACTTTACAACCAAGGAATCTTTGACCCACAGTAAGCTCTCTACAGAGATCCTGCTGACAGTATTTGTAAAGCTCTTGTTGACTAGGAGAGAAGCTTATAGGTTATAATTGTGATGGGGACTTTGGAAAGCTCAATTATGGTAAGGAGTTTTTTGGGTGGGTACTTTGTGGCTGTGTCATCCTTAGCAGCAGCTGTTGAGTTGTTGATGATTTTGCTTTCCCCCAGTTTCATCAGTCTCCCCCGGTTCCCTTTGTTCTTTTCCAGCTCAAATTCTGCCAATGATACCTGGAGCATGGGCTTCACTAATATAGGTGTGGTATGTAAATTTGGAGAGAACTAATTCTTGGTGATAGTTTGCATAGTCTTTTGGGGGGCTCCATGCAAGCTAACATCAGGGGTGGCTGTTGGATGCACCTGATGGGGTCACTTTCCTGGATTCATGGCATGGTGAAAGGAGATCATCTTTTCTGCCTCAAGGAAGATTTGCTGGTTTCAGGTAGTGACCCCCTTACCTCATGACAGCTTGAGCAGCATCTGCATACATCTGTGTATGCTCATCCATTTATGTTTGTAGGACTCCAGTCTCTTAGTAAATCTGATAATTATATAGTCCTATCTCCTCAGATTACAGATTTTTCAAACAGGCTACTACCTCACCTGTTTATCAGGTTATGTAGTTTTAAGACTCAATTTTTCAAAAGAGTTTTCAAGGGAACACTGAATTTCATGGAATAACTTGAGAATTCAAGTTGACAGCAGGATTTATCTCATATTATTCTTTTAGGATATGATGTGAAAGGTTTTGCTCATTCATTGATCCTACTCCTTTGAAATATTATCTGGATATATTTTGTAACTTAAATGCAATAGATGTGTAGAGAATTGGTGTATATTGTATACAAATAAATGAAAGGTTAAGAAGACCATTTAATGCTGTGTGCTTAAAGACATTCTATGACTTCATGACAGCCTGTGACTTGTAAAACTCAGTATGGGATGATAACATGAGTATTTGTGATGTCTCTACTTGGCATATCAGAGGTATGAAGCTTAATTATCTGAGTGTGTAAATAGATAAATTTACTTGATTAATATGTTAGAAACCAACCTTTTTCTAATTGTTATTATGAAGTATCTATTTTAAAAATCAAAATTTTCAAATTGTTGAGACCTAGTGTCCACCCACCTCTGAAGTTTTA